GGATATGAGGCTGGAAGGAGCAAGAAGCGGTTGTCCCCAGTGGAAGTCCCATTCCGTGGCCCACGTGTCCTGGGATCTGTGGCTGGGGGCCACAGATGACCCCAAGCAGCCTGATATTGTTGCCCAAACTTTGGCTGCTTTGAAGTAAGCAAAGATTTCTGGGAAGCTCCAACCATTTTACCTGGCTGTTGGCAGATTTAGAGCTGCCTGCTTTGAGGGAGGAAAATAAAAAGGAAAATGCAAAGGAAGAGGGAAGTGGGTCTGAGAAAACCAAACCAAGTCTATCAAGAACCCAGGCCACAAGGGCCCATGGCTCAGAGCCCAGGAGAGAAATCAGAACACCCAGCATATTAGAGGTGGAAGGGACCTCGGCACCCACCTCACCCAACCCCTCCTGCAGGGAATGGGAACATGAAAGCCCAGAACCACACACAAGCTGCTTAGGTTAGCACCCCTTCATTTCACCTGCTGCTGAGTCCTCATCTGAGTTCAGTTCCTTGTGAGTTAAAGGCCTCCCACCAGATTCACGCCCACTCTGCTTCCCCAGAGCACAGCACAGGGGTTCATCTAAGGCAGGCCCCTGCAGACCCACTACCTCCTTGAAACTGTTTTTCAAAACTTTCATGCATAGGGACCAGCAGTTGGCGTAATGGCTTTGTCACTGGACTCCCATGTAGTTGACCGCGGTTTGAGTCCCAGACCCAGTGGCTTAAACTTGTGCCAGGCGCGTGTGAGTGCATGCCCAAGATCCCGAGAGGAGAATGGAGCAGAAGAGACTGCGGCATGGCCACCCACCTGGGGGTTATTTCTCGCTTTCTGTCTTTCTGTCAAGAGCACACACCCTATAGCGAAAACTTCTCCAAAAACAAACAAACAAACAAACAAACAAACAAAACAGAAAACTTTGGATATGAGGCTGGAAGGAGCAAGAAGCGGTTGTCCCCAGTGGAAGTCCCATTCCGTGGCCCACGTGTCCTGGGATCTGTGGCTGGGGGCCACAGATGACCCCAAGCAGCCTGATATTGTTGCCCAAACTTTGGCTGCTTTGAAGTAAGCAAAGATTTCTGGGAAGCTCCAACCATTTTACCTGGCTGTTGGCAGATTTAGAGCTGCCTGCTTTGAGGGAGGAAAATAAAAAGGAAAATGCAAAGGAAGAGGGAAGTGGGTCTGAGAAAACCAAACCAAGTCTATCAAGAACCCAGGCCACAAGGGCCCATGGCTCAGAGCCCAGGAGAGAAATCAGAACACCCAGCATATTAGAGGTGGAAGGGACCTCGGCACCCACCTCACCCAACCCCTCCTGCAGGGAATGGGAACATGAAAGCCCAGAACCACACACAAGCTGCTTAGGTTAGCACCCCTTCATTTCACCTGCTGCTGAGTCCTCATCTGAGTTCAGTTCCTTGTGAGTTAAAGGCCTCCCACCAGATTCACGCCCACTCTGCTTCCCCAGAGCACAGCACAGGGGTTCATCTAAGGCAGGCCCCTGCAGACCCACTACCTCCTTGAAACTGTTTTTCAAAACTTTCATGCATAGGGACCAGCAGTTGGCGTAATGGCTTTGTCACTGGACTCCCATGTAGTCGACCGCGGTTTGAGTCCCAGACCCAGTGGCTTAAACTTGTGCCAGGCGCGTGTGCGTGCATGCCCAAGATCCCGAGAGGAGAATGGAGCAGAAGAGACTGCGGCATGGCCACCCACCTGGGGGTTATTTCTCGCTTTCTGTCTTTCTGTCAAGAGCACACACCCTATAGCGAAAACTTCTCCAAAAACAAACAAACAAACAAACAAACAAACAAAACAGAAAACTTTCACACATGGGTGCCCCAATGCATTTTTGTAGGGGAGAGTCCATAGCTTTCCCGAGATCCCCAAAGGTGTTTGAGATCCCAGAAAGACAGACTTTCTACTTTCTGTGTTGATATTTAAAAAGGCAGAGACTTCAATAGGGCAGATTGTGGCTCCAGGACAGTGGTTCTGAACCTAGATGATTAACACCCCAAGGGCCACTGGCAGTGTAGGAGACACTTGTCATTGTCATGACTGAGTGAGGGCACCTCAGAAGCAAAGGACACCGTCAACCATCCTGCACAGGGCAGCCCCCATGAGAAAACACCAGCAGGGCTGAGGCTGGGAGTCCCGGTCCTGAGACGAGCACGTGGAACATGCCCTGGAAATGAGCATGAACCTTACCCTCCATCTGCCCTGCATGTGACTGTGCACCAGCAGGCTGATGCATATGGCCCTGGGAGAGGACCCCACACGAGGGGTGTCCTGGGCACCCCACTAGCTCTTGGACACTGGTTGGGCCAGAACCAGTGGCCTCACTCCCCAGGTAGAGCACAGGTGATGTCCAGGGTGATTTCTCACTGCCAGTGGATGGGGACAGGAAGGCCACACGCCTGGTCACTTGATACCTAGTCAGGAAAGAGAGCTGCCCCTGAGCCAGCCTTGTCAAGCTCTGCACAAAAAGCCATTCCCAGACCCAGAGAGCGGAAGAGGCAGCAGCCCGCACTTACCTTCAGAGACCTGGGGCACAACCTTTCCCTCATCTTCCTCTGGGGGAAGATGAGGAGAGGGGGGAGAAAGGAGAGGCAGGAAAGGAGTCAGATGACGGTGGCGAGGAGGAGAGGAGCAAACAGGAGAGAAAGAGAGAGAGCTCGATTAACAGAGAGGATTCCCTGAGAAAGAGAATTTGCTGAGGATAGAGAGGTGAGCCTCGGGTGAAAGCAGATTGTCCGAGGGAAGGCTGAGGTCCACCCTGTACAGGACTTCAGGGCACCAGGCCTGAGACGCTGGCCCTCAGGAGCCGCCTCTCATAGGCCCTGCAGCCAAGGCCCATGTGGGCCGAGTCTGAAGCAGCAGTGTGTTGGCTGGTGAGAGGCAGCCCTAGCCCCCGGGCATGCTGACACCCCTGGGTGGGAGGCGTGCCCCAGCTGTGTGTCTGCGTGGGTCACACGTGCGTGCCATCCCCTCCTACCTGGCTGGATCAGTCTTCTGGGGACTAGGGGAAAAAAGTAAAGATAACTCCAAGAGCCCCAGCCCAGCCCTAAATCCAGAGTCTAGGGAGCATCTTTCCAGGCTCAGCCAGATCCAAATCACTGCTGAGGGCCCAAGGACCCCCACCGTGTCCTTTCCCACCAGGAAGCTGGGAAAAGGGCAGTGGGAACCTGAGGTGGCCATCAACCTGGAGGAGGACCTTCTCTCTGACAGACCCAGGGTTCCACCCTCCACTCCGTAACCAGGACAGCAGCCTCCCTCCTTTCTGCCTCAGGTGCCAGAGCTTGGGCTCTTGTCCTCAAGAGCAGGGACGTGGATAAGGGCGCAAGCAAAGGCTGGGAGAGTCAGGAGTCAGCTGCTGACAGGAGCCCTCAACGGGCAGAGGAGACCCAGGGCTGAGGGTGAGAGGGCCAGGAAGGTGCAGAGTGGAGGCCACTGCCAAGTCATGGGTCCCCAGGCAGGGTTTTGTGGGCCCAAAGAGGCAGAGCAGGAAACCCTGAATGCCAACAGTCTGGCCTCTGAGGTCTCAGGGATGCTCAGAGCAGAACCAGGTGGGCTGCAAGTGGGGGCCTGGCTCAGGGAAGCATGGGTGTGTTTCTCCAGCTTGTGCACGTGTGTGTATGTATGCATGTGCACATGTGTGTGTGAGGACAGATACCTGAACATGAGACATGGGAACCAGGTTCTAGTGGAGCGCTGACAGACTGCTAGGAACCTGAGACCAGCCCTCCAAATCCCTGAGTCACAGGAGGCTAGGAGTGGAGCCCAATCCACAAGTCTCTAGGCAAGAAGGCTCAAAGAGATCCATTACTCCCAGTCCCGGCTGAGAGGGCCCCTCTCTCCACTGACAGGGCCCCCCCTCCCCAGGCCTGATCTCAACATGGGCACAAAACTGGGCTGCCAGTTGTCCCCAGAAGGGTCCCAAGAACCCTCCACTGTGGGCGTCTTCCAATGAGATCCTCAAGCCCCAGCCTCTGCCCAAGACCACAGGGCCCTCCTCCCACCTCTCTCCCAGACAGTCACTCACCGCCTGTGGGGTGCAACAGGATATCCGCGGGGTTGTGGGGTTTCAGGCCCAGGGCAGACAGAGGTGTCTTGGCCAGACCTGGAGGGGAGCGCACTGTGCAGGGAAGAAGAGAGGGGTGAAAGGTCTAAGGGTAGGAGGGCAGAGGCAGGGCGGGGAGGCGCAGGAACCCCATCTGCCTCATCCTCACTGTCCTGGTCTGTCTCTGCCTCTCTGCATTTCAGCAGTTTACAGGATGAGGGGAAAGTATCAGGAAATGGTGCCCTGACCTGGCCTGGCCCCAGCATTGTAGAGCCATTTCTAGCCCAGGCTCCTGGTTTCCTGCCACAGTCCCCCCCACATCCCCACAGCTCCCAGTACATGCAGGTGCTTGGGCTGTCTCTGCCTTTTCCACAATGCTCTGGGTCTCCTTTGCCCAGCCCCCTTCCACAGCATGCATACACACCTGTGCACACACACGCACACGCACAGCCTTCAAAGCATACACTTGGACGGACTTGGACGGGAACAAGGAGTCCCTGAATGGCACGTCCCATAAAGGACAGAGGAGGAGGAGATCACAGGTGGGAACTGTGCCAACCCGAGGCCTCAGGGCAGCCCTCAGCCGAGAGTGGCCCTCACAAGTCCCAGGAGGAGAGAACTTCTCCATGTGGGGCCTTATTCCCTAAACTTCAGTGTTCTGGAAGAAGAGAAGCCCACAGTCCTCGCCAAGAGCAGAGGCTGGGCTCCTCCCAAGCTGGCCATCTGGGTTACAAGTGTCACATAACACACAAGGTCGGAAAGGGCTGTCGGGCTTTTTCCCAAAAGCCAAGGACAGGGCCACACTCAGCTGATCCCAGTCACGAGACGGCTCAGTGGCAGCTGCCGAGTCTCCTAACACACTCTGAGCGAAGTAAAAAAGGAGCTCTGTGTCTCTCATCAGGGATATCTGAAGCCTGCAGAGGTCGCAGCTCCTAAGACACTCCCTGTGGCCTAATGGCTTCCACAGAGTAGCTGAGGCCCCTGCATGCCCAGGAGTCACATGGCAGCTCTGTGATCCTCTCTGCAATCCCATTGCCCTTCCCAAAAGGCAGTGTGACCTACAGCCAAAACAAAACAAAACAAAACAAAACAAAATACAACCTCTGAACACGTGCAACACACATAACTTATTTGTACAGGTGCATAGCATGCACATAGGAAGAGTGAGATGTCACAGGGGTGTAGGTGGGTGGCTCACTCCTCACTCCACCCTCACTCCTTCTTTAGAGATCCATTGGACACATACAGCATAGGGGATAAATGTAGGTTCAGGTAGGTCTAGGCCTGCAGGTCTCTGATCATCTATCCTCCCTCTCTCTTTACACACACACGCACCCACAGGCCCTGCCCTGTATTTCTACCACCTCCACACACCCATTACCTAACACTGTCTTGCCCATGGACACTCACTAAGCACCTACCAACATGAAATGAATGAATGGCTGCTGTAGTTAATTGTGAACGAGTGACACCAGCCTCCGAGACTACTGATCACAGGATAACCATGACACAGTCCAGCCCACAAGCCTGCAGAAGTTTGCCCACTGGCTACAGAAGAGGCACGGGGAAAACAGAGAGAGAAGGTGAACGGAGAGAAGACAGAGCTGGTGGGAGGCTTCTCTTGGTTTTCTCCCTCCCTAATTCCTCCTTCCCTCGGTTCCCAGGCAATTCGGCCCTTCTGCTGAGGCAGATGAGTGGGCAGCACTGAAGCCAGACGAGCCTTTCACTTCCTGAGAGAAAAATTCCACACATTTCTCTGCCTCCTTTTTTCTCTCCCCAACTCTGTACATTTATGAGTCCTCTGACTTATCCTTCTCCCCAGCACACCCAGGGCTGGCTGAGGGGCAAGACAGAAGAAGGTGGCAAAACCCAATTCAGGCATAGCCCAGATGGCTCCATCCCACATAGGGGGCTATCCAAGCCTTGAATACTTGGAACTGAAGGTGAAAGGGACCCAGTGTGAAGGTGGAAGGTTAAGACCTGGGAGAGAGAGCCAACCAGGCCTTACGGCTCCAGAGCTGTCTGGACTGGACTGCATTAAGCCAGCACCGTCCAGCATGGACACCGTGAGCCACACATGACCACAGGATACTGCAGTGTTGGCTAGTTTAAACGAAGGTGTGTTGTGTGTGGAACACACACACCAGAAGCCAAAGACCTTGTAGAAAAAAGGAACACAAAATATCTTATTTTTTTATATTGATTACATGTTGAAATGATAGTATTTTAGATTGAAGCTAAGTAAAACGCATTAGCAAAATTAATTTCACTAGTATTTTTTGCATTTAAAAATATTCTAAATATCTTGATTTTTTTTATATTTACTTACCTAATATTTTGGGTTTTATAAAATAATAATAAATTTAGGGGCCAGCAGATGGTGTAATCAAGATTCTAAAATACCTTGATTTTTTTATATTGATTTACCAATTGACATGATAATATTTTGGGTTCTATAAAAATATTATCAAAATTAAGGGCCAGTGAGGAAAGTATGCTGGCAAGCTGGGCAGGCCAGAATTTGCTGCCTGTCACCTCCATGGCTCATTCCACCTTACCCTGTGCCCACTTAGTCAACCACAGTTCGAGTCCTGACCCTGCAACTTGAAATGCACACCAGATGCATGTGAGTGTATGCCCAAAATCCTGAGAGGAGAGTGGAGAAGGGATTGCAGTGTGGCCATCCCTCTTGGGGGAGGCTGATTTCTCACTTTCTGTCTCTCTGTCTCTCTCACTAGAGAATTTTACGTGACAAATGCACTTGTATTCTATGCCCATTGGATACCGTTGCTCTAGGGAGAGCTACAGCTTCCGAGGGCCACCGAGCACAGCTTCAGCCTCCTGTGTGCCCAAGATGACAGCCCACACACATTCTGCTGGCACAGGGACCATGGACTGTGGTCACATTCTCCTTCCGCAAAGGATAGCCAGCCACAATTCTCCCTTGCTAACCCATCTCCTCTCACTGGAGCAAGCGGATAGCTTGGACCAGGCCCAGTCAACCTCATCTCCACCAGACTCTCCTTCCTCTGCCACCCAGGTCTCTCCCAGAGACCAAGTCTCCCACAGCCTGGAATTGCTCTGTCACTCTGTTCCCCACAACCAACTCCTCCATATAAGGAACTCTGCTCCCGCCTCCGTGCTCATTTGGATCTTCTCACTGTGGACATATCTCTGTCCTTTGGAGGTTTGAGCCCCCTCCCCCACTGGTGGGTGTCTCAGGGGCTACAATCAAAAGACCCTGTCTAGACGCCAAGAGCGGATGAGATGGAAACTGTACCAGCCTGAGAGTCCCTGGCGAAACAGGCTATATGAAATGGAAGAGTATCAGAATGCAGACAGAAATGGGGTAAAAAACAAGAGGTTGAGTCAGAAAGTATCATGCTAGGATGGGCAATCTTTTGAGTGTAGCATGTAAAAAGTCTGAACAAGTAAGAAAATTCTACTATACATGGAGCCTAGGGCCCCATCGGGATCCTAAGACTGGGGCTGCAGCATCCTTACTTAGGTTCATGAGGATGAACAGTAGAGAAGACAGTGGCTGCAAGGAACAGAGAGGAAGTGGGCACAGGGTAAGGTGGAATGAGCCATGGAGGTGACAGGCAGCAAATTCTGGCCTGCCCAGCTTGCTAGCATACTTTCCTCACCCTGTCTCCAAACCTGGGGCACTCACACAGGCCAAGAGTGAGATGAGGGGCCAGAGGGAACACAGGGAAACAGGTTTAGCAGGGAGTTCTTACCCCCACTGGGTGGTGGGCTGGTCGGGGAGGTCCCCTCCATTTCCTCGAAGGCCTCCTTGTAGCTGTGCAGATGGGGCTGCAGAAGAACAACGGGGAGTGAAAGGGGGAACCTGGAGAAGGGGGTTTTCCTTTGCATGACTTGGGAATGGGGATATGAGTCAGCCGGTCCATAAGCCCCTAGCTGATCTGCCTTTCCTCCACAGCTCAGGTGAGCACAGAGGAGATCCTGCCCATTCACAGCCCAAGCAACTCTTTGTAGTTGAGCTGGGGGCATGGCCATTGCAAAACCATGGTCAATCACTGGCAGGGTTCAGGAGCACTTGCCTAGGAAACATTTCAGAAAAGAGCCAAAGAAAAGGGGCTGGGGTGGAAGATGGGCCTTGCTAGAAGGTAGGAGAGAAAAGATATCCAAAAGCCATTTATATCCAGAATGACTCTTCAGACTGGATTGTATGGGACAGTTAACATCTCCCAGATAGCCCTCAGATCACCTGCACTAGAACCTTCAGGTTGCGTGATGAAAACGCAGATTCCTGGGTCCCAGATCTACTATGCTAGAATCTCTGGAGGTGGATTTGGGAAATCTACAGTCTTAATGAACTCCAGTTGTTATGCATGCTGAAGTTTGAGACCTACTGCCTCCAACTACTAAAATGTCTCAGAAATTCAAACATTTGGCACGAAAATGAAATCTTCCCCCCAAATCCTTCTATCTATCTAGAAAGAGGCCTAGACACCTTTCTGTCCATCTGTATGCTTCGGTTTGGAGTTCAAAAACAGTGGTCACCTGTGGTATTCCAGGATCCTCATTACCCTACTAGGAGCTCTGTTTAGGAGTTGAGGAGGACTTCTACCTCAGAATTAATGTAAGAAGTGGGAACATGAAAGCTCTTTAAGTAGGGAATTGGGCTCCAGAGTCCACATGCCAGAGAAGAGACATGATGTGAGGATACAGGGAGGGAAAAACAGCTGAGTTCACCAACGGGTCAATGCCAATCCACCATCAGGTTCCTGGGGGTCTAAGATGGGCTACACCATCCCCTGTGGCCCCAAAATCCAGGTCAGAGACTCACCTCTTTGGGCCGCCCTCCAGGATTGAGAGCGATGGTAAGTGCCAGTTCAGGGGAGACACACTGGACAGGAGAGCGAACCCCAGGACTACGAGGAGATGTGGCCTCTGGGGACTGGTTCTCATACTGTCCATCGCTGGCTGCCCGCCTCCGGAGAGGGGCTGGGGGCTCTGCAGGCTGCTTCTCCCTAGCCTGTACCCCTGGGAGGAATGGCAGGACATAGAGAGTGATGAGCACATTGTGTGAGAAGTGATCACTCCGGCCTAATCCCCCTAGAGCTGGAGCTGGCTTGTCTCCCCTCAGCACCTCCCAGTCTTCCTGGACTCAGTCCTGCTCACACCCCAGATTCTCTCTGCGGGGTGGGGGACCTGCTCTGATTGGGTTTGACTTTCACCAGGAATCTCGACTCTCCATGGGGTGGGGACCAAAAGCACAACGGACTGATACAAGAAACAGATGTCAGCTCCTTCCAACCCCTGGAGGCAGAGGGCCAGAGCTTCCAGACAGGGAAGAAAGTGGAAGGAAAAAAGTCTCCAAGGCAACCGCATCAACTAACAAGCAACATCAAGCCCATGGGGAAGAACTTTTGGAAAGAGCTAAATTGCATCATCGTGCAAATGGTGCTTCCAGGGAGAAACAAAGAAATGACTACATTTTAGTATGGAGTCCCCAGTACCAGCTGGCCCCTGGGAGATTCTCGCCTTCTCTGGGGTTCCTCAACTGCCAACCAGTGCACCTCCAAAACCTGTTGCCAACTCCTTACACTGCCCTCTGAGCTATCCACCCCGTTTTCCCACTCCACAGATGGGCAGGATCCTAGGTCGCCATTCCCTGCTGAGGAGCAGGCAGAGAAGTCATAAGCTCCATCTGCTTTTCTGCACTTCCCACCCAACTCCTATCCCACAGGCCTGGGGATGTTGTTAACCTCACCCTCCCTCCTCCCCTCTCCCAAATCTTCCCACAGCTGGGCTGAGGCACGGAATCCATTGCCTCACTGTGCTGGCTCCCAAGAATCCTAGAAAACTTACTCCCCAGGTCCCAGAGGCCACGGCCCAACCTGAGGGTGGGCTCCCTTCTCCTGAGTATCTTCTGGGAGGAGATCCTAGCCCAGCCTTCACTATCATTAGCACTTATCAAAGTCCCAGGTCACACGGAGCTGGGACTCTGAACACACATCTAGGAACACAGGTCCATAGCACACACGATTGTGTGCCTATGTGCGCATGCACACACACACACACGTCCGTGAACACGTGCGCACACACACACACACACACACACACACACACACTGAGGCCCCCAGGATGTTCCAGTGCAGCCAAGCAGAAATCATTGTCACTCAGACTGAATCATCTTCTTCTCCTAACCAGAGTAGGGTCTGCAATCTCCCAGGTGGCCCCCAAATTGCCTACTTGTCATGAGCATGCCAAGTCTAGAGGTGGAGATACACACACATGCACACACGCAGTCACTCTGAGATGTGGGCCATTCCCTCTCATAACCAGGGCCTCCAGCAGAGCCCTGAGGGGTGCAGCAGGACTGGCATGGCATCTGCACGTTAAGTGCACAAGGGAACTCGGTGGCATCTGGAGTCTCTACCTCAGGTAATTTATTCTTCTGAGGCGGCCTTGCCTGCCCCCACTAGCTGAGAAGTAGGAGCCCTGATGGGACAGTGAACTGGACTCTGGGCTCAGTCTGCACTCACACACTGCCCTATTTAAAGTAAGTGGGCCTGCACCTTGAAGTGCCCTTATTTTCTGAATAGGAAATCAGAGGTCACAAAGGTCCCTGACACGGGCTGCTGTGAGCCTCCACCTGGAGGAAAGAAGGGTGTGGCTTTGAAGCTAGAGCAGCTGCTAGAATCCTACAGGCAGTCCAGGCTCTCAGGCCTCAGGAGAGCAGGCTGCAGCTTCTGCCACACCTGCGGTACCCCTGTCACCAGCCATGCTGCTTCTTCTCCCCCCACACCCCCAAGTCCCCTGCCCTACCCAGCCTCCTAGGCAGCTTGGATCAGAGCTACAGCTGGCTTTATTCCTGGCAAAAACATTAGAGAGAAACAGACATAGCCATTGATTTTCTAATAATAATCGTGACAAAGAAGGCCCATTCGGGAAAGGCTCTTGGGGTTTGGAACTCAGTTCCGCCCCAAGGTTAAAAGAAATGCATTAGGGCTGGTCTCAGTTCCGGACTCACCCACCCTGGCAGCCTCCTTCTGGAAGGTCCTTTTGCTTTTTCAAGGGGTGGCCAGTTTCCCTGTTAGATCTAATGTTTGCCCTTGACAAATGGGTCTGTTTCCATTTCAAGCATTGAATCTTCCAGAGAGACAGAGAACATTCTCCCCAATCTGCTCAGCGCAGCCTTGTGTCCAGGGGCCACAGAACAAATGTAACAGCAGCTGGGATCACCAGTTGGCGTAATGGCTATGTCGCTGAACTCCCATGCAGTCAACCGCGGTTCAAGTCCCATACTCAGTGGCTTAGACTTATGCCGGGCACGTGTGCATGCGTGCCCAAGATCCAGAGAGGAGAATGGAGGAGAAGGGATTGTAGCATGGCCATCCCCCCGGGGGGTGATTTCTTGTTTTCTTTCTCTCTGTCTCTGTCTTTCTGTCAAGCGCACAAGTCCTATAGCAAAAACCTCTCCAAAAAAAAAAAAAAAAGTGTCAAATGTAGCAGCAACTGCCAGGAGAGGAAGCTGGATACTGGAGGGCCTTGCCAACTGTGAAGGGTGTGCGGTGAGCCACCTGCACATAGGCCCCACCATCTAGATTGCCCTCTCCGTCACCACCAGATTGGCAAGGGGAGGAGAAGAGGGGGCAGAATGACCTCCAAAGAGCAGAAGCCCTGCAGGGTAGAGCTTTCCCCACAGAAGGGGGAAGACCCCACATTCCACTCCCATGGGGCTAGTCCCTCCCCTGGCAAAGTGCCCATGGTACCAGTGGTCAGTCAGGGCCACTCATATTCTTTGAACACAGTGTCCCACTGTTGTCCCCCTTGGCAAGCCCAGATCTGCCTGCAGTGCCTGGACAGCCATGTTCCCTCTCTCGTCTTTCTCTATGGGAGGGGAGAGGGCATGGTGGAGGAGAGAGAAGAGAGCCCCATTGTTCCTCAGCCAAGTTGGGATGTCTGGACACAAGCTGATGGCCAGTGTCAGAGAGAGAACACCCCTCTCTCACGTCCCAGAAACTGGCTAATGATAAAAATAGGCCTGCTCCCCTGCCCGCCCCTTCTGCCACCACCCTCCACCCCAGGACTTTCTCAGTCACTGAGCCCCATTCTCTCTCTCAGGGCCTCTGTCTCCCACAGGCACATGGGCAGATGCAGGCGGACACTTGTACAAACACACACACGTGTGCACACACTCACCACACAGTCTTAGTCCCACAGGAGTGGCAGTGGGACGCTGGCTTGATGGAGTATTTAGGGGGGCCACTAGGTCATCCACAGAACTCTATGGCCATCCCTGCCTCAGCAGAAAACCATGTGGCTGGAGGAAGCTAATGAAGACAGGATGCGAAAGAAGCAATCAGGGCTTTCGGAGGTCACCCCCCACTGAGGAGGGGGTGCCCTGTGGCAGACAGGCGGGCTTTAGGATCATAATGCCCTACATTCAGAGAGTCCTGTGTTCCTTTCTAAGGCTCTTCACCTCTGGTTGGCACTGGGCCTTCCCCACTGCCCCGCGAGGATGGGCAATGAACTCAGTCCAGGAGCCTCCACTCCAGCCCCCGACCAGAGGGAGCCAGGCAGTCTCACTTCCCTGGGGTCCTCACTCTGTGCCTGGATGGTGCTGTGCTTGGGGAAACTCTCTCTCAAAGGCTCCCCAATGCAAGCTACACCACTGGCAATTAATCACCATCTAACACACACATGTGTACCACGCTGCAATTCTGGGTGCCACAGCCTTAACACACAGCAACATGCACACTTTGGCAAAGCACCATCCCCCACCGCCCTGGCTCACCTGGACGAACGCCCTGGTGTCGGGCTTCATTGCACGCCTCCCTCCACCCCCAGATGGGCTGCTCCCACCCCCACAGACCCAGCTCTTCTTTCCAGCCTTCTGATTTCCAAAAGACTGAGTTGCTCAGTTCCAGATGCCAGGGCTGGGTGTCCAACTGCATGCCTGAGGCTCTGGAAGCGAAGGGATCCAGGAGGCCACCTGTTGGGCCAGGGTACTAGAAAGCCACACGGCGACCACACTAGCAGCCCTTGGGCAAGCCATGCCAGCTCCCCTTACGACAGGCGCCCACCTGAGACCCTGACCCCAATTCAGGCCCAGCTGAACACTGCACTCTCCACCACTGGGCCGAGAAGAAGGCAGAAGGAGCAGGGACAGGGGTTCTTGCTAGAGCCTTCTCTGGGCCATCCATGGGCTGTCATGGGGAGAGTCTGTGGAGGCACTGGCCACTGCTATGGGGTGTCAATAGCTCCCCACCCCTGAGTCTGTTCCCAGAACTGCAATGGGACAGCCATTATTGAGGAATGTTTCATTGCTATCACTCCTCACACCACAGAGGGTGATGTTAAAATATTTGTGACTGGCTTAAAATCTGATTCAGAACAATCAGAATCATAAAGTCATAGTATGTCTAAATGCATCTATAAACTAATTTCAATATTGCTTTCATTTACGTGAACTGAACTGTTGCTTTAGATCTCTAGAAGGGTTTTTCTTTAGGTATTATAAAGTGAAGCTAGTATAATAGTTCCAATTGACAATGACAGTATCCTTTTAGTTCACCTAAATTTTTATGTAGATGACCTTCATGGAGACGCCTACAGAAACTCCATATTCATGTGCAATTCTGACATTCCTTTTAGTGTTACAAATGTCAAGTCATTTCTCTCTTTCTCTGTGAGTGCCAGTCACAATGCTTTTCATTCACCTTAATATGGGTAGGTAAGCCTGACAGCTCCATCTTCTTCCAAAGAGGAAGAGTAGAGAAAGGATTCCTTCCCAGAGCTAAAAACCTTTGGGCCTGCATATCCGAAAAGCTGTGGATAGACATTAGTGGGCAATGCTATCCTCAAATATTAGTGACATGCTCCTTAACAAAGGGTCCACCAGGTCTGGGCATGTCACACCATTCTATAAATATGTAAGGTAGATTATCATCTCTCCATTTTTCAAATTGGGACACTGAGCTCTGAATAGTTAGGAGACTTGCCCAAAGTCATAGAGGTGGTCACAGACCGGGCCA